TAATGTAGAATTTCCAAACCACAGAGCGGGGCATACTGATGTAATTTTAGATTTTAATATGTTCTGCACTATAGGTTATTAACCTTAAATTACTGATTTGTTTTTAAAACTTTCACTACCGGTGGGGTTTACATACTGAGTACTATTGCTCTTGCCTGTTACATCACAAGTAAAAGGATCAAACAAACTGGGCAAGATCACTCAGTTTTTTTGGGGGGGGGGGAGCTCGTATGTTATCAGGAACGTTGTAACCAACAAGCAATTTGATGCTTAAATAGTTTAGGTAAACCGTACTTCTACGGTTAATAATTAGCTTTCTACGGTTGTAGCTCCCAGGTGGCGCTTTAAAGTTGGGAAAAATTGAAAATGGAATTTTTCCATGAATCAGTTCAATGTAATACAAAAGAAAACAGAAAAAAAAAAGATGACGACCGGAAGCATAATATAAAAAAAATATATTAATTGTTAAACACAAACAATTACCTTCGAATTCTAGTAACACCAGAACAATACGATTATGGTCAACACGTGCATGATAGAATACTAACAATTAGAAAAGAAAGAAAGATTTTAAGTTTTATTTCTGGATTTCTACTGTCGTATTAAGCTGAAGTTAGCTCGTAAGGAGTATCAACACCCACAGCATAAACTCGTAGAAAAAAGTTGACGATTTTCACCATCAGGTTATAATACTTTCCATGAGCAACTTCTAGAGTAGTAGTAGTCAAACTGTAGCCCCCTAGGTGTCAATCTGAGAACCACCTGGATCCTAAAATGTGTTACATACGTACACCTCATTTTCATTCAAATGTATCTTTCGTTTATGACTGGTAAAGGGGGTCGGTCTTGTGGCCCCTGAGGGTATTTGAGGGTCGCACGGATTAGTTTAAACACGATAGCAATAGACCGAGAGGGCAGCGTATTCCGCTCTTAACAGCCTGAACATGCTTTTAAACATATTTATATTTCATTACATACATCAACGTTGTTAAAGAGCCACACGCCATTACTTTACAACATTCTAATACCTATTATTCACGTGTTGGCGAGGGTGTTCTCGAATAAATAAGTGTAAGACGGTAACCTACTTCTAAGGTACTGGAAATACTAAATTCAAGAAGAAAGAAATAGCAGAAGAACTGAAACACAACAGCAATGCATCTACAAGACATATGGCATGATGACGACATACCGTGCTGAACCAGAAGAGGGTATCAGCACGGTATCCAAAACGTAATCAGGACAGTTGTTATCCATAAATACTAGTCCTTATTTTCGTGTTGATGTACATAGTTATCCCACACAAGTTGTGATCTATACAGCCTTCACACAGTCTGTGTTGTATAATTTTCACACAAGTTGTGATCTACATAGTTACCTCACACAAATTAGATGACGAGGAACCCACTTTGAGACTAATAATGGTTGGAGACGGCTTGAATGGGTAATGAAGAAAAAACTTTAATATAAGTTTAACAAAACAGCAAATGTACAAGGTTTCGTCATCATCAGGTACCCTACAAAACCTTGTCGAAACGTTGTACATTTGCTGTTATGTTAAATTCATATTAAAGTTTTTCTTCATTACCCATTCAACCCGTCTCCAACCATTATTTACCTCACACAAGTTGTGATCTACATAGTTACCTCATACAAGTTGTGATCTACATAGCTACCTCACACAAGTTGTAACCTACATAGTTATCTCACACAAGTTGTAACCTACGTAGTTACCTCACACAAGTTGTAACCTACGTAGTTACCTCATGCAAGTTTTTTTATAAAATATTACATAAAATAATTTACTCTAATGCAAAATCGCTATTTTTTAGATAAACCATAAACCTGGTAATGTTCACCAAGTGATAGGACGTTCAGGTACCTTTCAGCCGAGGAAGGTTTTGTGTACAGACGTTTAGTTTGATGACATTAAATAATTTCATTATACTGACTACATTCTCTTGTATGATTGCTCGTTTCCATATATACTTAACTTTGTTTTCGTTCAATGTTTCATCAAAAAATGCTTTGTTTTCAAAAGTTAACTCGAGCTGGATTTACGTTATGATGATGGCCTATCAAGTGAGTTGAGAACCAGAATAAAAGGGACATCGTCTTGCTTGGTTAATACCTTTCATCCAAAACAAAATCAGTGGTAGTATAAAACAGCTGAATACGGAAAGTACTTGGTTTGTTTATTTGGTTTTGTTGTTAACCACAAAACTGTGCCCACAAAAGGTGTCTAAACCCGGTTTGTAGCGTTATAAGCCTTCTTCAGACTTACCGCTGGGCAAAAGTACATGAAAATTCCTTCTAAACTTAGTCCCTATGTGACGCAAGTGTTTCAAACTAGAACGCACCTACCGGATTATTTGAAACTAGAACACATCTACAGGCATTTAATGTTATAGTTGGTGATATACGTATTCGTTGAACTTTTCCAAGACGTTAAGGCTTAGGTTTCTTACACGTGTATGGTGAAAAACAAATTGAATATCTTTCATTTCTACTCACGTTCGTACTAAATTATTGGATATATAAGACTGTTTAACGTAGGCATTATTATTTAATTTATTTTGTGAGTTAATATTTAATGATTGTTTAGTTTTTCATAACAAGAAACTTAAAATTAATCATTTTAAAGACGATAATTAAGACAAGTTTGTTTACTTAGCTCAGTAAGAGTCGTACGCTGTGTTTGCAATTACATTGTTCTCGAGGCTTTACTAATATTGTTGACGTCACCTTCTCTATTTTTCTCGTTACCTTAACTGATTATTGTTAAATCAGTGCCGTTCGCGTGCTTTACCGAAAGTTCGAGGCCTCAGTGAGCAAAGTATAAATATAGGCGACCAAGCGAGGGCAAGTTAAGAACTAAAGAAGCAGAGTAAAGTTCAGTCAGAAAAAAGTTAGTTAGTAAAAGAAAAGGTGAAGTTAGGCGGCGTGTGAGTGATTAGCCGTAATGGGCGATATTTTAAAGTGAGTTTCACATAAATATTTGACTGAGCTCCAATATTCATGAATAAAAAGATACCAAAATCATCAATTAGTTTTATTTAAAGTATGCCTGTAATGTCTCATAAGGGTAAAGGCAAAAAACTACTGGCCCTAGCCCTTACTAAAATTCGTATATTTACAAAACATTTATGCTAAAAATTGCTTACAGTTCTCGACAACAAAAGAGAGGGAGTCAATACCACAGGCCAGGTAACTTTATAGCTAAGGTATTAGTAGCCGGGGGGGGGGGCGATTTACTCAGTCTACACGCACACACGGGGGGGCCAAGAAGTAAACATAAATAACAACATGACGTTAGAACTAAAGTTTAAAACGCAATGAATCTCGGCTGCACCCGGCTGATTGGTCCCTGAATGACGAAATATCAAAACCAGTATTTTCTTGTGGGGGTTTCGTTTTTACTATTGGTGCATCTTTCTTAGATATGTGTACGTAAAACTGGGTATGTTATGACGTCATCTCCATGTTGAACAAGTTAAATTGAAATACATATTCAAGGAAGTTTTAAAAAGTTGGATGCAATCTACTCATTATTATTTAATCGAAGTTTGTGTCTACGTCACAATTATATGCATGTAAATTCCTTTTTTGTAAAGTAGACATACTTAACATTTGAAGCCTTCAGTCTAAGCAATGTATCGTATCCAATTGGCTAGCAGTATGCAGGTGTGAAATATGGAGGATTTATCCTGCCCAGAAAGTGATTTTTAGAGTAACGTGGGAACTTCTTTTTACGAGGAAGAAGACTTTCAACGATCCTGAATTTGTCAGATACTACTTACTCATAGTAACGTTCCTTAGCGGGGGTTTGCCCCCCAATTTTCAATTTGTTCCAGTAAAAATTCATCAAAATTAGGAAAATTACTCTTAATAAAAGGAAAAGAATACGTAAAATTTAATCCAGAACCCAAGACCTTCCAGAGCCCTAAGGCTAGCTCCTCCTCCCAACTTTTGTCTCCTACACCTCTGATTATTGAGTATATACACTGCGACACTCGACAATATATATATATATACATATATACACACACACCTTCTTTTTTTTTGACGAATGAAGTTATGAATTTCTAAATGGAAATTGTGTTAATATAAAAATGAAAATAATACGTAAAATGTTCTCGAAATAAGTAAGATGTATTAAAAACAGGGCACAACCCTGAAAGAGATTATACTTGTCTCTGTGACATTCTACGCCAGTATCATCAGTAGAACGCCATCGAAACATGTAGTATCTCTCTTTTTAGGGCTATGTTCCATTTTTATATAAATCTTATTTATTGAACAACTATTTACCGTGTTATTTTAATTCTTAATATTATACATATAAATAAGTGATGTTTAATATATTTATTATTGCTATTAACGGAAATTTTGTTGTTTTTATATCCCCCCTTCCCCGAGGAATCCCTTTAGTTGAGGGGGACCGCTTCCTCTGCCCCAAATATAGTGGAAACGATCAACCCAATCGCTACTACGCCACTGAGTATGACGTTTGCCTGGTCAGTTTCATATTGTACGGAGAAACGGGACTGATGGCCGTTCAGTACGTTTAACCATTCATCATATATGATGCAAGCATCTTGCGTGCAATGTTTTAAATGGCCCGCCGCAAAAATTCACGAATCTTTGTGCATGGGGTGGTAGGCAGATTTACACAAGCTGGAAACGAAGGTTTAAATACGTTGTGATTGTGCTGAAGATATTGGTTTTGCTATAGATTTGTCGGCACGTGAACGAAATGTTTATTTGTGGTCCAAAACACCCGTGAATGGTTACCAAAAAAGGAAAAAAAGAAAAAAAAGAAACCGGTTCAATTACAAACTTTATAACATTCTAGAAATAAGGCAGTAAAAGTAGCAAGGTCCTCCTTAACTCAAGTCAAAGTAAAATCCAATACAACAAGCTTCTGGGAATCTTTTACATAAATCGAAAATAATTTTACAAGTAACAATAAAAAAAATATATATATATCCAAATATTACCTCCTTCCTAAGCCTGGGAAATGTGGTAATCCACCAGAAAAATCAGGCACGGACACTGGTGGTCGATGTGGAAACCCACCAGAAAAATCAGGTACGGACACCGGTGATCGAATGACACCTAGAAGAAATAGATCACGTGAAACTGAGCAACCGCTGTTGACTTAGATCTTCTTCTTTTTTTTTGGGGGGGGGGGAGAAAGAACAATGAACTTTAACAGATTTCTTCGAGTTTGTAAGAAGGTCAGTAGAGTCCATGTTTTCTAGAATTTTTAATATCGAATTCTGTTACTTTTACGTGAAATTATAGTCATGTTGAAAACAAAAAACGCCTAAAACTTGTAAAGTGGTTGTAGTATGTGAAGAGAAGTAAGCCTTCATACCTACCTCGTGCCTTTTCGCTCCGTGGATGCTTTCATAAGGAAAGTATATTTTAAATGATGGCACGTTTCGATGTTTAAATCTTACTCAAAACGTGCAATACTTTGAATAAACGTGACCTGTTTTACGACGTTGAACATTTACATAAAGGTAATATATTTTTTATCTTTCTTGTCTGTTTGTTTTTAACGTAAACCCACCCAAAAGGCTATATGAGCTTTATCCACAGCGGGTGGAATCGAACCCCGGATTCTAGCGGTGGACGTCCATGAACGCACCGCTGACCCGCCAGGGGGCAGGTGGTGTTCTCTCCATAGTAGGTACTTTCGTAGTTTTTTTATGTATGTGTTTGTCTTGTATACATTACATATTACATAAAAACCAAACAATTCGATCTTAGAAATAAATAGCGTCGTTTCTTGAGCATTAGTTCTATAATAGCGTGTTTTCTATTTCTTCTCTGTACTTGAGTGTAGGTTAAAAAGTAGATACCAACCTGCATTAACCTTCAGTATACCCGTTGTTTCAGCAGTATTTTCTCCACTTCGTGCTTCACATTTATAAAACGCAGAATCCAGAGGGTCCAGGTGCGAGATTCGAAGACGGGAGCTCACGTGACCTTCCCCGTGGTCCGAAGACCTTAAGTCCACTCTTTCTTGGCCTTCTTCTAACGGAGCTTCATTCTTGTACCATTGGATCTGAGGCGTAGGGTGGCCACGAAAAGCACACTTCATTTTTACGTTTCTTCCAGGGTCGCGTGTAATGTTCACCAGAGGTCGCTCTACTCGGATAAAACTGAAACTGGGCCCTTGAATAACAACAAATATAAAACAGTCGTTTAGCTTAGAAATATTTGAAAAGGGGGGTATACATATATTTATATATGCACAAATAAATGTATATACCTTTTACGTGAAAAAGTCAAAGAACGAGAAAAGTAACCTGGAAGATGACAGATGGTCATTCTGGCCACTAAGGTCAATATCTTCGTATACCATGTATTATTTCTGAACAGTCGTAATGGAAAATTAAAAGTCCACTTCAAGTTATCTTCATTCGAGTCAAATATAAAAAGTCATATATACACCGCGTCATACATCGTATATCCTGAACTCGTGGAAAGATCTTGGTTTGAATGTCGCGCAAAGTTACACGAGTGCTACTTGCGCTAACATTCCCTAATTTAACAATGATAGACAGCTAGCTAGTCAACACCACCCACCGCCGACTCTTGGGCTACTTTTCTTCCAACGAATAGTAGAATTGACCGTCACATTACAATGCCGTCACAGCTGAAAAAAGCGAGCATGTTCGGTGACGGAGATTCGAACCCATGATCCGCAGATTGCGAGTCGAATGCCCCAACTGCCAGGCCTCGTGAAAAAAAGTCCAGTGATTATTTATTATTACATTGTGTCAGAGTTTTACTATTGATTTAAATTTTCGTGTAAGATATACCATACTGGTTCTAAGAGGCAGTTTATAAACTCTCGTTCCAATCGTGACGTAATCGCTCTTGTTGTCTTAGCACAAAGCAATATAATGTCCATGTCGGAAACTCCATATTTTAGCGTTGTAAGTCCGTGAACCTACTGCTGGTCCACCGGCGGTGGGGCTCGCGAGGTCATAACGTCGAAATACATGGAAGGCAATGCAAACAACGGTTGAAATCTATAGTTTAGGGTTCGTCTCTTATTCTAATGTTGTAGAACAGTTGAATTCTGTAGTTTAAGATATTTACGTATCACACAGTGTTATGGCAATATTAATGTTTGCATCTAGACTTCACGACTAAATATTTTTCAAACTTTTATTTTTTCCTGTCAACCATAAGTAATAGCAAAGGATAATACGTTATATCGTGTCAACCACACTATATATGCCATGTCCAGTGTAGACGAGGTCTTTGGCCCGATACCAGGTCACATCAGGCCAGTTAGGATACGACAGATATAAACATAAACCGCTTAACATAGGCTGCATTATGTACAAACATATTATATAAACATATCCCTACAGCAATAAAGAGCCTATGTAAATGAGGCAAAAATAATTAATGTTTCTCTTCTGCAGTGACGCCCCCCCCCAATGGCATAGCGGTATGTCTGCGGACTTGTAACGCCAGAAACCGGGTTTCGATACCTGTGGTGGGCAGAGCACAGATAGCCCATTGTGTAGCTTTGGGCTTAACGACAAACAAACGAACATTCTGCAGTGACAAGGTACACACCCACTCCATATTCTCGTTTATTTTATTCATCTAAGGCACTCAACTCACAATCTGTGGGTCGCGGGTTCGAATCCCTGTCACCGGACATGCTCGCCCCTTTTAGCTGTGGGGACGTTATAATGTAACGGTCAATCCCACTATTCGTTGGTAAAAGAGTAGCCGAAGAATTGGCAGTGGGTGGTGATGACTAGCTGCCTTCCCTCTAGTCTTACCCTGCTAAATTAGGGACGGCTAGCGCAGATAGCCCTCGTGTAGCTTTGCGCGAAATTCAAAACAAACCAAACTCTGCAATTATTTAAAAAAAGTCACTGTGAAACTTTATAGTGGCTATCAATCTCTGTATGTTAGCTCAGTCCTGAATCTGTTAGTATGAGTTGTAAACCTCCACGAAGCTCTCACGACAATCACAGAGTCCATTTATCCACGTACTCCCTCATCCAGAGCTTGGGACAATAAGGTGGCCAAGAAAATATGCGATTCAAGGAACTTAAAAACCGTTAGAGGATTTTTCGTTAAGGAACACAAGTGTAACACTAATTTTATATCTAAAAACATTTTAAATTTTATATTTCGATTCTATTTAAAAAAAAAAATTAAATCTGTTCAATTAAAAATGAGAATTCATAGAGACACATTGAGGCCTAAACGTTATTTTTATAAAGGAGTCTAACGAAAGACATGCACCATGGCCGTTCATAACAAAAAAATCAGCTACTGAACTGTCTCTAATCCAAAAAGGGTTCAAATATTGCTGGCCCCTGCAAGTTTATTCAGGAGTTAATATGAGGTTACCATATTTCGCAGAGTCTGCCATTTTTAGCCCAATGATAATCAAATTATATTGTTCTCTGTCTGGGGGCATTAATTACATATTTTATTATAAAACTCTGACCACAGGTAAATCTTACTATAAAGATGGTCCATGGGGTGAGTTTATATGTTTGTTTATGTGTTAGCGTTCACCACTCACGATTGGCTGGCTCGATTACCGTAATTTTGGGCATTATAACTGGAAAATGCCCGACGATGTACATGGGCTATTTTGTTTTAGGGTTTTTGGTCAAGAAGGGGGATAAAATACCATGAAATAGGGCACATTTAAACTTTTTAAATAGAATTTTAGCTTTGGATTTAAAGACACAAGTACTTAATCAGTTAAATGAGTCAGTTATTACTTTCCACAAAGCAGGGTATGGATTTAACATCTAATGAGCTCACTAGGGATTTAATAACAAAAAGAAGAAGGAGAGAGGGGCACTATCTAACATTGTGCTTTATACAATGTTTGCTTCCTTAACGGGTACCCTCAGCTAGTAGTGACAGAGCTTATAACAAGATGATGATAGGATGGCTTTTTAAATTAATGATAAAAAGTTGAAGTTTCGTAGCCGAAGTCGTTTTATTCTTCAATTGTTTGAATAAATAATCACGTTTAAAAAATATAACAACACAGGCAGTGCGTGATGCAAATATTTTACGTTTAAATCTAAACATTATGAAGTACTAGTTGGAGTACCTGTCCTCTGGACGGAAGTTATGTAAATTTTTGATTAATGAAAGGTTATCTTA